GGTTTCGCGTTGCCGCCGCGGGATGTTTCTGACCGAAGACAACAAGGAGCTAATTATCCCTCATCAGTCACACCCTAATTATAGAGGAGGGATCTCGATGCTCGGGAAATAGTGCCCGACAGAAAAGAGACAGATAGCGCAAAGTGACAAGGCGAGAGAATGGGCAAGACAGGGAGCAGCCTTGGCATCTGCCGTTGATTAACCCAAAGCAGACGACTCCAATTTGGCGCCGACAGACGCGATGATACCCTTTGACGGTTTTGAGTCTGGTCTGCCCGAATTGGTCTGGACATCCGCGTTTTGACTGCGGTAGCCCCCTGGGGTCCAAGCCACGCGGTTGCTGAAACTTGTCGACTGTCGAGGCGCGGGTCGAGGCGTAATTTATCAGATCATCGACTGCAGACCCAGGAAATACCGCACTTGCACTCTGCCTTGTATCTGTGAATTGGCGCCGGACATCTTTGAAAGTCCGGGTCCAGCCAGCCATGTTATGCACTTGTTTAGGTGAACTGTGTCCGTCCTTCATGAGAGGGCCAGGTAGGTACCAGGTACCAGGTAGTCAAGGGAACACACTCAGTTAGCAGATACATGTAACTGAACCAACCTCTGCTTATCAATGCTGTTTGCGCAATGGATGTTCGTCATGATCATGATAGTTCAAGGTCGCAAATCAATGCTGGATGAAAACCAAGCAAGACAAGTGATTCGACGAGGGCGGCAATTGGCGACCTTGCACCGTCTGATTGGTTACCGGCGGGCTGTTTTACCCTCGTCCACTGCGACTGCACAGCGCTCTGTTGCAGTGCTGATGGTGTTGAAACCCGTGCCTCACGCGGGCCTTTGTATTCGCAGCCAGCCTCCAGAAACTGATTGGTCGACAGATCCCAGTTCACAGATGGTGTAAATTGAGCAGACCACAATCTCAGACCCCGAGGCGCCCGCCTGCATTGATCTCTCGCTGCCCGTCATCACATCACACCCGGCCATTTTGGAGACCGCGGGCGGGAGCAACCGCCAACGTCGTATGCGCGTGGCCGGAGACCGGGGGCCGCGCCTCGCATCCGCGCCTCCCAACAGGTGACAATTCTCATTTCTTCCAATCTCCAGACGGTCTCGCCATGACCCAACTGAACAGCCTGCCTGGGAGTATTGTCTCATTGCGTCCGAGAATTGAGATAACTAGGACTCCCTACATACTCCCGCTCCCGCCGCCCAGCATGAGTCTTTCCCACCACCACCGCCAGCCAAACGGCTTAATCTCTGGCAGTTTTAGGCTTCAAGACATCATATTATGGCCACTCGATTGAACAACACTCGATGGGGGTATGCGGCAACCGCAACGACAGATCCCGATGACGCCTCACACGATGCAACGGCATTGCCTGCACTCCACGGCCGCCCGAGTCTCTTCACCATCACGTCCTCCCGGAGAGTGCGTCTGGCCGCAATGACCTCGGTGATCTTCCTCGCTCTCTTCGCTCTCGTGCACCGCTACGACGACCTCACAATGCCGACATGGTCCCGCGGGACGCGATCATCAAGCAACAACCACAGCCCGGACGCCCAAGTGGAAAGCCCCACCGTCCAGCAACCCATCGCACCACCAGGAGACAGCATCCCGGTCGACTGGTCGCAGTTCGCCTACACGCAGTACGTGACCAACAGCGCCTACCTCTGCAACTCGGTCATGCTCTTCGAGCGGCTGCACCACCTCGGCAGCCGGCCGGACCGCGTCATGATGTACCCGGCCGAGATGCTCTCCCACCCGGACACCGCGCCCGGCGCCAGCCTAGGCGACGATGCGCGGCTGCTCGTCAAGGCCCGTGATGAGTACAACGTCAAGCTGGTCCCAATCCAAGTCCAGCGCCGGGACGGCCAAGACGGTAATTTACCTCCCCCCTTGCCCCCCTCCCCATCCACACACATCCCATATCTAACCCCAGCGTGCGTGCGTGCCAGCAACATGGGCCGAATCCTTCACCAAGCTCCTCGCCTTCAACCAAACCACCTACGCCCGCATCCTCGCTCTCGACTCGGACTCAACCGTCCTCCAATCCATGGACGAGCTCTTCCTCCTCCCCCCCTGCCCCGTCGCCATGCCGCGCGCCTACTGGCTCTACCCGCAGACCAAGAAACTCGCATCGCACATCATGCTCCTGACCCCGTCACCCTCCACATTCGCCCTCATCACCGCACGCGTCAACGCAGCGGACAAGAACGACTACGACATGGAGATCCTGAACGACCTGTTCGGCGCCAGCGCCATGGTCCTCCCGCACCGGCCGTACGCGTTGCTGACCTCTGAGTTCCGCGCGGACGACCACGCGTTTTATCTCGGTGCGGATGCCGGGGAGACGTGGGACCCTGTCGCTGTGCTGAATGAGGCCAAGTTTTTGCACTTTAGCGACTGGCCGGTGCCGAAGCCGTGGCTGGGCATGAAGGAGAGTGTTAGGAGGGAGAAGGAGCCGAGGTGTGTGGCTGGGGAAGGGGGGAGGGAGGATTGTTTGCAGAGGGATTTGTGGAATGGGTTTTATACTGAGTTTGTGGACCGGCGGCAGGTATGTTTGACTTTGGTTCGTGGCTCTGGGTTGTGTGGGTGATTGCTAACTGCGACTTAGAGGGTATGTGCGAGGACGAACATGAAGAGGAGAATAGAGCGGGGGGCGGGCAGTTGATGATCGTCATTTGCCAAATACTTAATGGCACAGAGAGATAATCGGGTGGCTGGCATGGACTGGCAGGTTGTGATTGCATCGAGCGGCATTTTGCATGCGAGGGGTTTGGGTTGGGATTCACAGGGGCAGCGTTATGTACGCATTCGGGTCAGCATGTGGCAAGCGAGAAAAGAGACATGATTACCTAGTATTTAGACTGTCTCTAGATATAGATTATTTGTATATGGCTCCACGGGGGTCGTTCCGCTACTGCAGTTGTGGCACATGATATATGGCAATCAAAAAGTAGAGAACAATGAATTTGGCGTGCAAGTTCACGTGCTGGGACATTGGAACACGGCCGGTCCGGGAATCGTGTAGCCGCCCGCTGATGGAGTGAGTGTTAGTTGCCCATCGCTCTGGTCGAAAACAGGCTATGGGGTGTGACAACATACCATTCCAGACATTGATAAAGATGCCCGGGTCGTCTGACTTGTAGACGCCCGGGATGCTGACCAAACCCGTCGGCACCACCGTTCCTGGGCCCGTCACTTGGAGCTGGTGGCAGGATGGGTAGAACTGCGCTTCGCCCACCGCCCAGGCCGAGTGGAGGGCAATGATCTCGTGCCGGACGAGGTAGTAGCCTGCTTTCAGGCACGAGGGAATGGTGTAGTTGTACCCCCCATTTTGGTAATACATCAGTGGTGTCTGCCACATGCCGAGTTAGTAAATAGAGGTAACAGTGTTGAATACCGTATCAAAAGAAAGTCCTACGTCTGCCCAAATGTCGTTGGGATACGTCTTGTCGGTCGTGTGGCGGCCATCATGGTGGATCTTGAAGAACACTGGTCTGAGGGGCAATCAGCAACGACCGCGTGGAATGTCCCAAGTCTAACGGAGCAACTCACTCCTCACCGGGGAGCCATTGGTTGCAGCCGGCATCGGGACACCGCGCCATGTAGGTCAGCAGCGGCCCCATGTGAGAGTCGGGCCAGTAGGTCCATTTCAGATTGACCGTCGACCCTGCCTGCGCCGGTGCGTGGAGCGGGGCCGGGGCCGAGCCGATGGTCCCCTCGCTACTGATGCCGCCGCACTGGAGATCAATTGACGACAGGTTCTGGACCGGACCGCTGGAGATGACCTTGCGCGAGATGCGCTTCGGCGCCCATTCGCCCTGGTATTGGTCCTGGTAGGGCTGGTAGAACTTGGGTGGGTGTTAGTCGGGTCTGGCCCTGGGCTATGAGTGAGGATAGGGGTAATCAGTGTGGAGACGGATGGAGTGTATTTTACCTGGTAGAGCTGGCCCCCTATCGTGGCATTGTCCACCCAGCCGTGAGCCGAGACGACAGCAGCAGTGGAGAGGAGGGCGACAAGCGACTTCATGTTGACCAGTTGGGGGTTGTGTGCCAACAAAACTGCCCTTCTACTCGAACCCGGTGATTGTAATAGGGACTATATACTCCAGCTACCGGGTAATCATCACGACGTGCACGCAATGTCCATGCCAAGCCTCGATGCCGGCGGCGAGTGCCGTGCCGCATCCATATTGCCAATGCATTTTGATAAAGGAGCTGCAGTTGCTGTAGTATGCGACCCAATTAGACAATGGACCCGCCAGGCCAATGAGCTGGGGAGTATACACTCTTAGCCCAAACGACCGGGAGAAAGGTGAGCAGTGCGACGTGGCAATTCAGCCGCCTTTTTTCACGTTTGCATCCCGGCGCGCTGGGTCGTCCGGGGGAAACGCGGGGGCGGATCCTGTGGCTGCGGTGGATAAATATGAAGAAGTCCAGATATTCTCGTATCGACTTTTAAGCCGTATCTTGGCCAGCCGAATGGTGCATTGCTGCCGATCGTGGTTCCAGCCGGACCATTGGGTCCGCCGATCCGCGGTGGTCCCGGGTGTTGGTGCCGGTGCGTGTCGGCTCGGCTGGAGCCTGGGCATAAAGCCAATTGGAGTGACGACTCCGTCAGATGTCCTGACTTGCCGATGAGAGCCTAGCTCGCCTAGGTACTGTCAGTGACATGTGACGGTTGTGGTGTTTTGTGTTGGCGGCATGCGCAGGGGTTTATTTGACATATTAAGACTGCTGCAGCCCCCCGTGGGCCTGGTCATGTAAACTTTTGAAGAAGAAGAAAAGGTTGGTGTTCATGGACACCTTCCTTTGCTCCAATCCTGGGTACCGCCAGATTATATTGACGACCTTGTGTTTCGGTGCGTGCCACAAATGGGCGCTGCGCAGACCACGGCATGCCACTACCCGCCATGGGATGGAAGGCGCGAGTGTCACAGTCCCTTGACTCATAAGGATTTGGGCAAGCACGCCTGTCAACCAAACAAGCGACTCCCATATAGTGTAGTGGTTTAGCATACCAGGTTTTCATCATCTAGTGAAATCCCCTGGCGACCCGGGTTCGAACCCCGGTGTGGGAACAATAAGCTTTCCCTTTTTGCCGAGGGAAACGGCACGACATTTTTGTTCTGGCCTGCAAAACTTTGTTCCCTGTGGGTTAGGTTAAAATGTAATCAGTACGCGTGGGCTGTGCCATGTCTCGCCTAGATGCTTCACGCTGCACGATTCACAGGTCAAGTCAATATCGTTTCTTTTTTTTTTTTTTTTTTTTTTTGGAACGTGGTGTCTTGGAGATGCCACAGCTTGACTCTCCTTCTGGGTCGGCCCACGCACCCAGTCGACGCGGCAAACTTGTGAATGAATGGAACAACAGAGCGAGAATTCGGGCCGCAGAGTGACGGGTCAGAGGACTTTCCCAAAACAGAAGAGGCCGCAGCTGGCTTGCGCAGTCCGTGACTTCCCAACCGTGAGAGAAGCGCCCTTTAACACGGGAAGGCGCCCAGGGCTGCGAGAGCAAGCACATTGACGAGCGGATGACGCAATTTCCTTGCTCTGTCCGGGCAACCATTAGGCCGAGGTACTGCTCTCGACACTCGGGCAGTTTTATCCCCGTCCTCATTTCGAGCTTTCTATCTCAAGCATCTGTCCGTCGATTGCGTCCACGAACCTTCGCCCCAACCAAAACCTTTGCCCAGCATTCACTTTATTTCATCGTTTCTGGGCCCACCACCACCATCAACGTCCGCCGCGGTAACGGCTTTCTGTCACAGTCATCAGTGCAAAATCGGAGACGTGATTGAGGAGACACCGCAACGCTGGTCGAGTAAATGACCTTCTTCATCTCGTACATATACCTATATTGTCATTTCTGCAGGCGGCAAATCCTCGAGCTAAGCGATTGACTGTCAGAAAGCCCGGGTAACATTGCACTGCAGCTGTCATCCTTGGTTCAAGCCCCTCTGCCAGCTTGACAGTCTGTTGTGCTCTCTTCTTCGGTCACAGTCGTGTCCCGAGTGCAGCTTCCGCCACGTCGCCAGCCAGGTCGCCCGGTCGGATAGGGGAATCCAATCACGGGCACTTCCTTCGATCCCGCGTTCCGCCAATCAGCCACCCTGCCGACTGATCCAAGTGAGCTCGGCTGTGGTCGGGCATCGGGTCACCAGCGAGATTACACAACCTGGAGGACCCCAACAGAATTCACCTCGCGGCACTGCAACCCAATTGGACCATGGTTCATCCGCCGTCTCACTCTCTCGTCAGTTTTCAGGCCCCAATCCGCGAGCCGGTCCGTCAAGCCGACGTCCCAGTCAGGGAAGCGCTCATGGGCTCTGCCTTGACAGCGCCTCTCTCCATGACACCCCGATGATGCTGTGTATAACAAATCGCAATTCACAAGTGCACCCTTGTAGGCACCCGAAGCTAGTGCAACGGAGACCCCCTGGGAGCAAAGACATTGAGACTGCCCTCGCTGGTCCTCGACTCCCACTGTGTCGAGCAGAGGTGGTCGTATTTAAATCTTGACTTTCTCTCATCCTGTCCTTGTCCTCGACTCCAACCTTTCCTCTCTTCTGCCCCTTTTCAACCTTCAAAAACCATGGACATCAAGGTGTTGCCGAGTCCTTGTCCAATCTTAACCCGTCTTGGCCTCACCAAGCGTCTACCCCTGACTCTCTCGCCTTGCCGCAGGCTCTCATCCGCACTCCATACATCCACTCTCCAGAAAGTCATGAAATTTCCCGAGTCCCGAGTCGACCACCTTCCTGTCACTGCTAGAACCATGCTGGCTGTGTCGTTAGCCCATGGTCCTAGGCCGCCTCTTCCTCTCCAAGCGGCCAGGTCCCGCGCGGGGGCCACATCAAGCTGAAGGTCATTCGAAGGCCAGCGGGTGTCTCCTGCCCTCTCTCGTGCGCGCTATCGGATGGGACATGATAGGAGAGCCCAAGGAGCCTCGGAAGTGAGCACGAGAAAGGGACTGTCCACCACCTCAGCTCCGGGCCAGTGCTTGGGCTGACGTCCATGCGGTACCAGGTAACCATGCAAAATCCCGAAGCTACCCAGCACGAGTCAGCCTTCTGCACATGCAGTGCAGGTCCCGGCGAGCCTGCCCGGGGTAATAGGCCAAGCTCATCTTCCTTTGGAAACATCAGCGACACTTGCCGCGATAGCATCCTCCTCTTCGCTTCGCGTCCAATGCACATGCCGCTGCCCGTGTTGGTATTGCTGAGCAAGGCAGAAGTTGGGCTTCTGGCCATGTTCCACAGCGTATTCTTGCTTTTCCGGCAACATGTTGTCGCTGTGATTGGTACGTGCCCAAGCTCTTCATGCCATCGCCCGAAATGCAGGCATCTTCTGGTTGGCTGGTCCAAGTCCTCCATGTGCTCTGGCTCCTCGACCCAGCAAAGCCTCATGAAAAACTCTCGTGGAGGGATCCTCGCAGGTAGGGACGCAGAACCCGGCAGTCTAGCAAAGCAGCGGTTAACTATGCGGTAGGTCAGCCCGCTGGCGAGGACAGCATCACACTTCAGCGACGTTGCTTCCTGGATTTCCCGAGCATGAAGAAGACGTCCGATTCACGGCCTTTTGACGATCGAGGCTGTCGAAAGGAAGACGTCGAACGGTAATGGGGCTTGGCCCAATGCAGGCTCGGTATGTCCCAGCATCGCGCGGCCGTTGACGATTATCTTCGTATCTCCGATCAGCAACTGTGTTAGGCGCCGGCCGATGAGCAACTCATCCAACCATGAAGGAACACATCCCAAGGATCTGGAACGTGATCCTTGAACATGATGGCCACGAAGTCTCTGTTGATTACACGATGCTTGGGGAGAAGACGAGAGAAGGTCTCGATGGACTGGACAAAGCCAGTCAGGAACAAGACAGCCAACACTCTACCCCAGAGTCCCAAGATGTCAAAATAAACGGCGATCAAGACCCTTCTGCGCGTGTGTGTGGGGAAAGCCACATGACCGGGATATGCCATTTCTCATTGCTCGAGACTCTTCCGCCTCGGCCCAACGTGCCAGAGAGCGCCGACCAGGGGGTGTTGGGCAGCACAGAGGCCACACTAATTAGTGTGCCAGTTACTCGGATTTCACGATTGGAGGAGAGCGACTATATACAGGTGCTGATCTCTGTCATTTATGACAGATCTGGGGCTCGGGAGACAGACCGAAAGCCAAGAATCTCAACCTGCACCACCTCTTTTGCCAGACCCTTGCGTAATTATTTGCCACCACTGAAAAACGGACGAGACCATCATGATGCAACCAGTAAGCTTTCACGTGAAAACTTGGAAGTCAACAAAAACACCCCTAACAGCCAGGTCTAGAGTAGGCACGTCAAAGCCCACATTGGCAGCGGACACGGTCATAGTAGCCATGGCCACCGCGAGAAGTCCAAGTCCCAGAAAACCTCCACTAAGGAGCAGAAAAGCACCACCACCACCAACAACAACAACAACAACGGCAAACCTCACGTCTCCTTCCTGTTTGTCGTCAACGAGCTCAATTTCAGCCACGAGCCCATGGCAGGTGACAGCTGCCTCCTCACCGACCAATGGGGCAGCGAGATGCCGCCCACTCGGTCCGACGCCTACAGCCTCGAGACGGCGGGGACAGTCTTCCGCTACAGCGACGGCATCGTCACCCCCGCCCCGGGGTACGTCTGGCTCCCCAGCAACGGCCCATCCGAGCCCGGCTGCATGGCCTTTCTCGACGACCACAACATGATCGCCGGCCTGCCGAAATGGTACAAGACCCAGAGCATCTTTGCCTGTTCCGCGCACCTGCCCATCATCGTCGCTGAAGGCGACGTCTCCCTCGGCTCGTGGATGCGCCGCGGCTGCAACTGCGACGCCGTCTACGACCAGACGGCCTACCCCCGCTGGGACCTGCTGCACTTTAGCTCGGCCGACGGGTCGGGCGTCTCACGCGCCCGGACCGGCTCCCAGGGCTGTCCATATGTCGCAGGCAAGAGCCCCTCGTGGATCCCATCCTTGGTGCCCAGGGCGTTCAAGAACACGCGGGTTGAGGTGCAGTCGGTCGGGCTGGCGGGTGAGCTGCCGATTGTGCTTGCGCTGATGGCGTTTCATGGGGCGCCGGGGAGGGCGAGTGAGATCTTTGCGCGCCGGTCGTGGTGGAATCAGCGGTGGGCTGGGCCGACGAACTCGCCGGCTGGCTGTGAGTTGCGATTCTCTGTCACTACTCCTTCTATTCGTCTAGGTTGATTGGGTAAAAAATGGTTGTGACGCGACTTGCTGACTTTGAGGATGATATAATTAGATCCGCTCTCCGGCGGCGTCCCGAGGGGCTTCCTCGTCAATGTCTGCCTGGACGAGCTGGACGACCCAACACGTCCGCCAGAGTACTACGCGCCTATGGTGGAGGCGATTGAAACCCTGGAGTGGTATGGGGTTCTTGTCAAGGACTGACAGTGGTAGTCGCGGGGTGCGGAGGGGGTGGGTGAGAAGCTTTAATCAGTTTGGAAACACTCGTCGAGACACCACGCTTGGGGGGAGTGATTCTGGTTCTTTTTGTTTTCACATATGTGCTTCTGTCCCTTCCATGATGTCCTTTTCGAACCTGTTTTTATATATCTAGCGTGGTTACTTGTCTTGAAGTTTCGTTTCGATCTGTTTATTCTCGTTTTCTTCAGCAACAGGTTGGCGTGTCGTGTTTCTTCTTGCCCGAGTCGATATCTTTTCTCTATGAATCTACTCTTCCGGGCTGGCTATTCTCGATGTTAATAAGCCCCGTCTCCCCCCTTATCTCTGACACTGTCCTAGTTGTTACCTTACTCACAGGAAAACACAACCTACACAAGCGGGCGGGTTCGTGCTAAGTATTCCCCCGATACCACGAACGTTGAACGTCGTTTCATCAGGGGACACCGTTCTACCCCTATCACTACTCGCTCAGGAGACAAGTCAACCCGCTTTCCTGCTTATCATGTTTCTGATTTCAGACACCATCTCAACGGTATATCATCACGATTCACAAATTTCCCCATTGGATGGATTTCAGGTACTGCATTGGTTTCAGTCCGTCAGTTCAAGAGCAACAGATCTTCGCACAATCTATCC